GTATGGATCACTTGCGTTGTTACCGACATCTGGTGAAAATTTCATATCATTAGCACCTCTAGTAATATATTTACTGAGAAAAATGGTGACGTGTTTTATACTTATTTTACCCGCTGTACTATAAAATATATTACGTAAGGCTTTAATGATCAACATGTTGGAGATGAAAGAGAAAAACCATTAACACAAACTTATTAAACTTGTTTATATTTTTAGTTTAAACCATCCTGAGTGTGCTCGTGTCCTCTGCATGCTCAAAGTTTCCAGTTTGATAATTAATCTGATAACCAGAAAACCTCGTCTCTACAGGTTTATGGAGCGTTACCATTAACAAACTTCCACTACAAGTTGATGTTAAACTTTGGTCCAAACAGACGAGTTAATGTGTGTTAATTACAGCAGGATAATGATGGTGTCGGTGGATCAAGGTGGGATTAACCAGAGGACTGTCAGCTGGGAGACGCTAACTGCGCAGAGCTCAGGAGGTCGTATCGAGCTTAAATTAGCTCCGAACACTTCACAGATTTGGACTCAAACAGCCGTCATGAACCCAGCTCGTGTTTTAGTGTTTGAGGTCCGGAGGCCCAACTGGGACATGTTCAGGAACTTTCTCTGACCTTGCGCTCTTTGTCTCCGTACTCCAGGCCCAGCGTGTCCATGGCACGGACGATGGCAGCCAGAGACTGGATGGTGTTGCTGTAAACCACAGGCTTGTACTGCTTCACGTCGTCGCCGGAAAACCCATCCTCGTGGATGATCCTGGACAGACAAACACAAGAGTTAGAAGGTTGGCAGGGTTTTTAGTGTAAACCTGAGACGACCGGTGGTCCCAAAACATTTTCTGCAACACATTTAGGGTTGGGTAAAATCGTATCGTCAGATTAATCATCAGAAAAACTTTAATAAATTATTTTTTGGCACTTGATGGTTAATACGATTAATGGTACCAGGAGCTGCGTTTCCATTGCAAATGTGCGCAAAACTTTGTTGATATTCTGTTAATGTCGAAAAACACAGTTTCACAACTGCAGTGTTTCCATTAAGTAATAAATGTTATTAAAGTCACGTGAATACGTTTGTTCTCATGATAAGTCATTACAAACATGGCAGCGATGGATGTAAACACATAGCATGTTGCTACCACGACACTAGCGCTCATCATCAGAGGAGACGTCGGCGTCTTTTATCGAGGCTTTCCAGAGACAAGTCCCTACTTGGGAGCGGCTACGTATGCTGTGTTTTTGGGAAATTATGGTCGGCTAGTTTAATACATCCTTCTACAACTTCTGTGATATTACTACTGTTTCTACTTCCTGTTATCTTCTTCATCATCGTCTTTTTCACCAGTAGAAACAGACGGTTGTGGATCACGTGACTCCTGTGATGCGGAAAAAGTGTTTCCATTGCAGTTTTGCGAAAAACACCAATTTAGATACGGCCGAAAAACCACCTCATCCTAGTGCAAAAACATTTTGTCGAAAAAAGGAAGTAGATTTCGAAATTGACGTGTTTCCATTGAACAAATTTATTTTCGAAATTCTACTTTGCACATTTTCATGGTCAATGGAAACGCAGCTAGGCTGACTGACCGATGCTCCTCTACGTCTTAAATCTGACAAACTTTTTTTCAAAACTAACTTATTCATCATAATTCTGGTTTTACTTGGTCTAGCAACACAATGTAAAGCCTGAAATCAGTAGTTTTATCACAATTTGGAAAAGATTTTTACAAAGAGCAAATCTTTCCCACTAAATTGGTCATGTGACCAGGACATAGGGGTGTCCAGAGACTCCAGGGGATTAATCGTCAAATTAATTGTTATTGGAAAAATACCACAATTAATCGTGATTAATTTTTTTGTCAATATTTCCCAGCCCTACCTGCAACACATTTAGGGTTGAGTAAAATCATATCATGAGATTAATCGTCAGAAAAACTTTAATGGATTATTTTTTGGCACTTGATGGTTAATATGATTAACGGCACCAGGCTGACTGACTGATGCTCCTCTCGATTCAAATCTGACAAACATTTTTAACTCTGTAATTTACTTATCATAACTCCGGTTTTACTTGATCTATCAACATCATTTAAGGATTGATGTAAAGCCTGAAATCTGTACTTTTAACACAGTTTGGAACAGATTTTTATGGAGAACAAATCTTTCCTACTAGAGTGATTTAAACTGGTCATGTGACGAGGATATGCTGGCGTCCAGGGGATTAATCATCATATTAACGGTTATTGGCTAAATAAATACCACGATTGACAATTTTTTGCCAATATTGCCCCACACTAAACACATCAGAAGTAAAAAAATAAGAGGGGAGTGTTTTTATAAAGACAGGGGAAGAAATGTTACAACTAAAAGACGTTTGGGACAGATGGGAGGGTCTATGACAGTGGGCTCAGCTGACATTTAGACACACAGTGTCCTGCTGTTTCAAATGCCATGATGTCTTTCACTGCAGTTAACACAAGGACACAAAGACAGGTCGTCTCAGACACACTGAGAGCCAAGAGGACAGACGGCCTGACAGAGTCCAACATCCAGAGTGACGAGACGGAGACGGAGACCCGGGTCATCAGGAAACTGCTGCCTGATGCACAGAGACAGATGCAGGTTGGGGCAACAACCTCACAGATGAACGAATGAGGAGGAACAGTATAGTCCAGTACAGTATGTATGTACCTGTACACCATGTTTATCTGCATAAAAACTACCTGAAGTGTTGATGGGACCCTCTTACCCTACATCCCCTCAGGGATAAAAAACAAACACAAAGTCAGAATTCAAGATTAATTCTAAATATCATGGCTTTGACTATATGTCTCTATAACATCTGACCATAACCATCTGTTGTATCAGAACCAAAATACAAAATGTTAAAAACTGATAAATCCAGGTAACCAATACTGAACTTATGAAGCCACAAAAATGCCAAAAAGTGTCAAAATCTGTTTAATTGAACATTCTGTTGCACACGTTCTGTCAGTATTTCCCAAACTGCACCAAAAATATCTTCAGACACTCTACTAATCAAAATAAATAAGATTAGACGTACACTGGATCTATTTTCACCTTGTAGCAAACAAATGTGGCCTGCCACCAAAATTAATGATTTACGCCAAATTTCAAATATCGTGCATATTATTGCCTTATTATGCCTAATTTTGTTTAACCAATTATTGCACACTTTCTGTAAATTATATAAACTTCATTTCACTTCTCAAATATCACTGTGTTTGTCCCCTATATGATATATTTAACTGATTTATTTTATCCAAACAATCAATGATTTATAAAGATAAATCAGGAAAATTAACAAAGGTGCCCAAACTTTTCCATTTAACTGTCTAAAAAGACGAGTGTCGGGGGTAAATATTCATTAATAAATGACTCTGAACATCTGTCAGATTCATTTATTTTCTTTGTTGTGTCAAAATAAAACAAACTGAATCCCATTGTGTCTGTTTTTGTTGTTTGTGTTTCTTTAATCCATCGTATCCTTGGGTAACAAACCTCACACAAATCTGTCCTTGCCTGCAGGTGTGTGAAGGTGAACTGTGTTAGTGTGTGTTTGTGTGTTAGTGTGTTAGTGTGTTGGTGTGTGTCAGTGTGTGCGCTGGACTCCAGAAGTGTAATATTTCTGATCAATCAGGCAGCCTGCCAGCCCTGAACACACCTTCCTTCCACTCCATCAATAAATCCCCTCGCAGCATTACTTCCTGTAAAGATACGTTGACTCAGGTGGTCTCAGGTGGTCTCAGGTAGTCTCAGGTGGTCTCAGGTGGTCCAACGCTGCACTGCGGCAGCTTCTCCCTCGTTTCCTTTCAGAGTTTCAGCCCTCGTGTTTCGGTGCAGCTGATGGACTCAACAAGCAGCCACTTAATCTGTAATTTTGCGTCCCGTCTTCGCTCGCAGCAGAGAGGTGAAGGAAGGACGAAGTCTTAATTGGATGCTGCCGTCTCTGAGGTAATGATATGTTGAGCTGAGGACTGGGAGGTGCATTTTCACTGTAACATGATCCGGAGGAAGCAGAGCAATTCTAAAATCTCTCCTGTCTAAAGTCAGAGTTACACTTTAATCACTGGTGATGGAGGAAAGATTAGTGTGACCTTTTAATAAACACACTTCACCAGCCCATCAATCTGGGAGGGGTCAAAGGTCATTTAGAGTCCATCAGTTTACAGAGAGATAGATTATTCACAAGGTGAAAGCATTCAGGACAATTAACAGGCTTCACCCAGAAGGTCAGACTGTGCAATGAGCTCCATCTCTAGAGGTCTCAGTCAGCAGGGTAAAGGTCAAAGGTCATGACCTCTTCTCTCTAAACATGCAGCACAACTTAGTTTCATCTGAAGGAACAAGAGGATTTCTGGAGTAGATCCAGACCAGAGGACAGCTGTTTACCCAGAATGCACTGCAGCAAACTGCTCCTCTGAAAAATAAATAAATAAAGGAAGATTTTAGGTTTTTAGACACGGCTTCTTCTTTATAGCTGTTTTTTCTTTTGTTAAATAAATCATAAAACGGGACAAAAAGTTTAATTTTTGTTGGACTGAAGGTGAGTTTTGCTTATTTTAAACTCAAATCATTTGTTTCTCAAACGTTACAGCTGTTTCTCCCAGGGGTGTAAGAAAATATCGATACATTGAAATATCACGATATTTGATTTCCTGATACTGTTATCGTTTCCCAGAAGAGCTTTATCAATCTTTAATTAAGGGTTAGAACAGATGTTATGCATGGTGTGCTCTTTATATTCTTATTTGAATCCTTTGGAGATAAAAATGGCAACGTATCGCCTTAATTACTGTATCACAATTTATCACAATATTTCACAATGTATCGCAATATATTGTCTTGTCACCCCCGTGTCCTGATATGTATCATATCACCAGATTCTCCTGATGCACAGCCCTAGTTTCTACATGTTTGAGGGACATCTGATGAAATCTAGAAGGACGTGTCGCTCCTCCAGGTGACCTCACGTTGAACCGAAAGAACTCGGAGTTAAAAAGTTATTTGTATTAATTATTATTTCTTCATTAACTCAGAGAGAAGGACAGAAAGCAGCTGAGCCAAGAGTTAATATTAACAATGGAGGTGTTCCTGACTCGCAGTGTGTGTGTGTGTGTGTGTGTGTGTGTGTGTGTGTGTGTGTGTGTGTGTGTGTGTGTGTGTGTGTTTGGCACAGTCCGCAGTGACCTGAAACACAGTTTAGTTTCCCACTGAGCCACAGATGGATGCAGAGACTGACATATGGCTGATTTAAGCCCAACTTTCTTCCATGATATCCTGAAGCTGCTGTCAGAACATCACGTGTTTGTTTTAACCACAACCAGCAGCTTCTGATCAACCTTTTACCAGCTGCTACCTGTGTGAACATCAACTCCTACAAACTTCAGTTCAGATGATTTAAAGCAACAAATAAAGCTGAAACTTCACATTTAGAGTCGCATTGGTTTAAAACAAAAACATTTCATTTTTTTTATGTCAGGAAGTCAGGACAGTAAATTATCAGCGTTTCCTCTTGTTTAAGTGCTGGAACCTAAATTTAAACCTGTCAGTTTGCACAAAGACGACTCCGCTCAGTTTATGTGAACATCTGTAAAGGAGCAGAAAACGTTTGAGGCTCTAAAGGTTCATATTTGGGCTGTTGCCAGATTCTTATCTGGCGATACGATACATATCAGGACCCGGGGATCACGATACGATATATCGCGATATATTGCCAGGTTTTTTTTCTTCAAT